TTATGACTTGTGCTGGAAACCTAGACAATGACCTATGATTACTGAAGTCATGTTTTTTGGAGAACTTACAACCAGGAACTTACTAAATGAGTATAATCCATAACAACTGTAAATATCCGTTATTATACCAAAAGTAAGTGTAGTCTCAATCCTTATCAATGAAACTTCTCTTTGCAACAGACAGAGACTCTGTCTGAAAAGTACAGTAAATCAAAATGCAGATTTATGGATCCTAGTCCCAATTGATACATGAATAAAACAACTCTGGCACTTAAGGCTTAATGAACATTATGGAAGGAGGGACAGGGTTCTTGTAATATCTGGATGATCAGAAAGTTTGCTTGGGACACTGTCTCCTAACAATGTCAGAAGCAACAGCAAAAAAAAAATCTCACCATCTGGTTGCCTACATGTGTGCCAAATGAGCCCCTAAACACAAGACATGCCAAAGTGGACTGGGGAAACCACAGGAGGTCTCAATCCCACACAAAGGACTTCGGGCAAAGGAGGAGTGCTGAGAATTGGAGAAAAGACTTTTCCGGGGAGGAGCACAGCATATCAAGTACCACATGGGCAGCCCTGAAAATGTACATACATGTAACATTATACTGACTGAGCAGGTCATATTTAAGACTATATGTATACATATATACACTAATAAGTAGTAAAAAGAGGCCATGAATTTGAAGAGTGCAAGGAAGGGTATATGAAAGAGTCTAGAGTGTGGAAGCAGGGGATGATGTAATTACATATAAATTCAAAACCAGAAGCACAAAGTAAGAAGTAAAGTGTATTGATTTCTGTCCCTTTTAAGTATTGGGGTGCCTGCTGAACTAGGTGACTGTGATCCTTTGCTTTTTCAATATATTGTATTCGTCTTTGAGATCATAATATAATTATATCAGTTGCACTTTTCCTCCTTCCAAAGCAAACCACGAACACTGTCCCTTCCTTGCAGTCTTTCAAATCTATGGTTTCTTTTTATATTTTGTTGTTTTATGTAAGTATGTATATATATGTGTGTATACTAAATACCTAATTTCCATATATATATTTCTCAGTACATAAATACAATGACTCAACCTGTACATTCTTACTAGTATGCATGTGATTATAGTTAATGTCTAGATGAGTAGACATTTGCTGCTCAGCTTTGCTTTCCATGCTGACACAGCCTGTAATCACCTGTGAAGTGTGTCTCAGCTAGGGGTTATCCAGAACTCTTTGGCATGTGGAAATATTCATGTGGGTGTCTCTTGTATTAGTTGAAGGAGGAATGTTCTACATATTATGGGGACACAATTATCTGGGCAGAATTTTCTGAATATTAAATGGCAGGAGATAGTTAGACAAAAACAAGTGAAGAGCCACGTGTTTATTCTCTCTAAGATCTTGACCGTGGATGTGGTGCTTTCTGGTCCTTCCTGAGTTCTCCAAAATAATGGTATGTAGCCTGCAATCTTAAGCCTTACAAACCTATCCTGCCTTCTGTAGCAATTTTTCAGAGTATTTAATCAGAAGAGTAGAAACGATAAAAGAGCAGTGACATAAAGTCCTCATATTTACTCTAATATGGTATACGTGCTTTTGGATTTTATATTCATGCCATTTATTTATTTATTTATTTATGTATTTATGTATGTATGTATGTATGTATGTATTTATTTATTTATTTATTTATTTATTTTACATCCTGGCTGTACCCTCTCTACCCCATCCTCCCCTCCAGTCCCTCTCCTCCATTTTCTCTCCCATCCCTCAATCCCTTTCTTCATCCACAAAAGGGCAATTCTCCTATGAGTATCAATAAAATATCGCACATCAAGTTGCAGTAAGACTAAGCGCCCCTAACGTGTTAATGCTGGACAAGGCAATGCAGTATCCGGAGTAGAGATTGAAAAGGCAGTAAAAGTCAGAGACAGTCCCAGTTCCCACTTTTAGGAGTCCCATAAGAGGACCAGGCTACATTACTGTAACATATATGCAGAGTTCCTATGTCAGTCTCATGCAGGCTCCCTGGTTGCTGGTTTGGTCTCTGCAAGACCCTATGAACACAGGTTAGTTGATTATGTGAGCCTTGCTATGGTGTCCTTGAACCATCTGCTCCTACACTCCTTTCTTCTCCTCATCCTCATCCTCCTGCTCATCCTCCTTGTCCTCGTCCTCCTCCTGAATGCTGCCTAATGTTTGACTGACTCCATCAGTTGCTGGATGACTCCTCTCAGATGTCAGTTGGACCAGGCACCAATCTGGTCACAAAAGACAACCAGTTCAGGCTATTTATTCACTATTGCTATGGGAGCTAAGCTGGGGTCCTCCCCATAGACTCCTGGAAGATTTCCATGCCAGGCTTTAAACAGACCCTAAAAAGCCCCCTACAGGAATCCCCCTCAACACTCCCCACCTCTGTGCCCCCTCGATCTCATTGCCTATGTTCTCATCCCACCTGCCCTCAGTTTACACATGAAATCTGTTCTATTTCTCCTCCCCAGGGAGATCTGGGTGTCCACCCATGAACTCTCCTTGCTACTCCATCTCTCTGAGTCTATAGATTGTGACATAGTTATCCTGTTTTTTAAAGGTAATATCCACGTGTGAGTGAATATACATCATGTTTTTATTTGAAATCTCTCCTATTTCTCCTCCCCAGAGAGATCTGGGTGTCCACCCAAGAACTCTCTTTGTTACCCCGTCTCTCTGGGTCTATAGATTGTGACAGAATTATCATTTTTTAAAATAAGTAATATCCACTTATGACTGAATACATATGTTTGTCTTTATCTGTCTGGGTTACCTCACTCAGGATGATTTTTTTTGTAGTTCCATCTACTTGCTTCAAATTTCCTGGTATCCTTGTTTTCAACAGCTGAGTAATACTTCACTGTGTAATGTACCACATTTTCTTTATCCATTCCTTGGTAGAGAGACTTCTAGGATGTTTCCAAGTTCTGGCTATTACAAATAAAGCTGCTATGAACATAGTTGAGCAAGTGTCCTTGTGGAATGATTGAGTGTCCTTTGAGAATATGCCCACAAGCATTATAGTTGGGTTTTGTGGTAGGTTGATTGCCAGTTTTCTGAGAACCATCACACTGACTTCCAAAGTAGCTGTACAAGTTTGCACTCCCACCAACAATGCAGGAGAGTTCCCCTTGCTCCACATCCTCTGCAACATGAACTGTCACTTATGTTTTTTTTTTTTTTTAAATTAGCCGTTAGTACAAGTATTAGATGGAATCTCAATGTCATTTTGATCTGCATTTCCCTGGTGGGTAAGGATGTTGAACATCTACTTAAAGGTTTCCCCACCTGTAGCTAGAGTTTTCCTGCCTGGCCCACAGTCAGGACAAATCTCTCACCTGCCAGTCCCACAGCAGCTCAGACCCAACCAAGTAAACACAGAGACTTATATTGGTTACAAACTGTATGGCCGTGGCAGGCTTCTTGCTAACTGTTCTTAAATTAATCCATTTCCAATAATCTATACCTTGCCACATGGCTCGTGGCTTACCGGTATCTTCACATGCTGTTTGTCATTGTGGCGGCTGGCAGTGTCTCTCTGACTCAGCCTTCCACTTCCCAGCTTTATTCTCCTACTTGTCCTGCCTACACTTCCTGCCTAGCCAATGGCCAATCAGTGTTTTATTTATTGACTAATCAGCAACACATTTGCCATACAGAACATCCCACAGCATCCACCACTTGAAATGTTTCTGTTGAAAATTCTCTGTTTAGATCTGCACCCCACTATTTCATTGGATTGTTTCATTTGCTCATGTTCATGATAATTTTACAAGAGAATCATTCTTGATTAGATTTCTACCAAATTTGTGTGCTCCTTTGAGTAGAAACCAAGTTGTGAGGTCACAATCATTCTAGATTAACTAGATACATTCAAATTTCAAAATGGTTTAAATAGAGAAAACTATGTGGTTGTCCATGAATTCAGGGAAGATCCCAATGTTCTATGATAAACACACATTTTCTATGACCTGAGTGCTGTGTGTCATCACAAGTCACCCCATACAAGCAGGACATCTAATATGTGTTAGAATGATTTCAGAAATTGTGAGGAAGAGGATATCAGTGAGTGCTTAAGAGAGGCCCTCATCTGGACTTTGAAGAACAGATACTATTGGGATCAGGAAAGACACAAAAGGCTGGTGTGAGAGCTTGGAGAGTGACATGCAAGACTTTTTTTGAAGGTAGTAAGTAAATAACTTTTCAGAAATCAAAATTTAATGAAACATGCTAGTAACAGACAGTGCTTGGAAATGGTGATTAAAATGAATTTCAAACAAAGAATTCTCAAAATATTTATGTGGCTTCATAGTGTTATAAAATTGTGGGTTTAACATCTTTATGTAGAATTAAGTGGGAATTGCTTTCATCGCTCTGTATGTCAGGAGACAGAATGGAAGACTAGAGAGTACCTGAGAAAATGAGCTGGAACATGATTGAGTTCATACATTCTTAGGTAAGGTTATATTATAATCTTACTTGAAGGTCCTCCTGTAGAAAATAGTTGGCATAATGTTCAGAAAGTGGCCCATAACCAGAGAATCTCCCATAGGTAATGATCTCAAGACACAAAGAAATGAATGAAGGAAGTAAATGGATTTCAAGGAATCAATCATATTGTTTATTTTCCAATAAGATTGAAATTTGCTTAGGTATGAAATATGCCCAGTAAGTATTAGTTCCAATATTCAAAGAAATGCTGAGTCTCTGGGACTTGACAAGATGATCTTAGCTGGATGAGTGATGCCTAGGTGATGGTATACACCCACTACTTGGAGACAGCAATTTTGACTGAACAGGTGATTAAAAAGTGCTGGTGATATATTATAGCTGAGTCAGCAGTAAGGAGCCATGGACTAAAAGATTACCCACAAAGACTTCCTGGCAAAAACTTTCTAGTTGCAAAATCTTTTGAAAATCATTGTGTCAGAGAGTATAAAAAGTCAGCAGAAGCTCTGTTGGAACAATCCGAAGACACAATGGCCAAGCTCATTCTTGCTACAGGTGAGTTGATAATCAGATCTAGACCCTCAGTCTTGCCTGATTCTTTCCTCACAGGATCTGACAAGGAAGTAATTTTGACACTACAACTCTAGGCTTTACCATTCTTCATTTGTCATGAAAATTTTCTTTCCTTATTCAGTGTTTCCTGGCTCTCATAAGTCCGTAGTTGAGAGAATACTTTTGCCTTCACTGATACCACAGGCATGACACTGATGTCTCCCCTTTATTCAATGCTTATTTTGCTCTTTTTTTTCAACAGTCATTCATTGCCCTTACCTCTTGTTACACCATCATTCTGAAATTCACAATCTGTTTATTTTCATGCAGATGTTGTGGAAAATTTTTTTGAGAGATGGCTATCACTAGACTCTGAGATAGAGCTCTCCAAGTTTTCTTTGTTCTTCTTTTTTTCAGAATTAATTCACATTCTCCTCCATTGTCCCATCTCATTGCTGATTTAAATTGTCACAGGGAGAGACATTCAATCATTTGGGAGTTAGATTTAGGCATTTTAACCCAAGTTGTCACAATTTACCAGTTGCACTAAATCTGTTTCTGTACACACTTTTCTCAGCTTCAGAACCTTATTCAAGTGAAGACAAGATCAGTGTGTAAAAGGTTCACAGTGGAGATGCTCTAGTTACATGATAATGATTCAACACCAAAATATCAGCACTCAAAAGCACAGTCAGAACATTGTGCATTAGAAGGCCAGCCAGGGCTACCTAGTGTGAGACCCTGACTCATTGATCAAAACAGCACAAACAAAGAGGAAACATCCTCAAACCTAAATTGTTCCTTTGTAGCTAAAAATGTCATATGGAGCAAAATATCTTATTTCCACCAGCAAGGTCTCTTTTTTTGTCTCATTCTTTTTTTCTTCATTTTTCTTATTAAGAAATTTTCTACTCACTCTACACACCACACACAGATCCTACCTCCTTCATCCTTCCATCCCCAGGACCCCCTCCCAAGCCACCCCACATCCTCACATCCCCACATCCCCCAAATCAAGGTCTCCTGTGGGGCGTTTATCCAACCACCCCTACAGTTCCCCAGAGTTTTCTTGAGTGCGAGCAGCAGGAAATATTAGATAGAAGGATTTATTGCAGAGAATCTTGCGGAGATAAACAGATAGAAAATAAAGGATAGCCTCGAGAGGGCCTGGAACCTATTCCAACGGGCCCCGACTGTCTCTGGGCCAGGGTTTTTATAGAGACGCCAAGGGGTGGAGCAAAAGACCTCCTCCCCCAGCACAGCCAAGTGCAGACCATCTCAGACACCTGCACTCAGGCCCGTGGTCCTAATCATCCTCTATGTGGACCTGCTGGGTAAAGCCACGAGGAACCCGAGAACGGGCTCCCACAGGTCCCCCTTTCTTAATATATATATAAAAAAACTATTAATGGCTTACAGCAATCTCCATAGCTGTTACACCTCCCAATATGGGAGTAGAGGATGATAAAGATGGCATTTCTCTTTTGAATTAGGTCCAAGGTGACTAAGGCAGTCTTAGCTGCCTCAAGCCCTTTCTAAACCAAAAACTCTTAAGGCAACTACAAACTTAAAGAATCCCTTAGCTTCATCATTCCCATTAACAGGTTAACATAAATATTGCTATACATAGTCACAATTCTCTCAATCTTACAACTCAAAGCAAACTCTTAACAGAACCATTTGAATTAGCATATATGGTGCTAAATATAGTTAACAATTTTCTCCATCTTACAACTTTAACTCAATCATTTGAATTTTCTTGCTAACAGAACATAGGAAAAACTTCAATGTAGTCACATCAAACTTAAATATTTCCTTAACTCCACAAAACCAGGGTGCATTAATATCAATAGGGTAAATACAATTTCTGCAAACAATTCAACCTCATAACTCCTCCTTTTCTTTATAACTTTTTAAACAAAATCTCAAACCTAGTTAGAAGAACCCAAACTTATATAATTCCTACAAACCCATATTGAAAAGCAATATTTTCAATCTAACCATGAACACTTTGAAAACTTTTAGCAAAACATTCAAAAGCAGTTTCTTAATAAAACTCTTTACACACTTTAAAAGTAGTCTCTTAGTATACCCCATTTGCATTTCTTACTAACAAAACATGACATTAATCCACCAAACAACTTTTGAAATTAGACTAAGGAATATTAACTCTCCCTCTTTTCTTTATAATTTAAGCAAAATCTCAAGCCTAGTTAGAAAACCCAAACTTTTCCATTTAAACAGTTCTGTTTGTAACACAAAAACAGTTCTGTAAGTAATTTCATTTTAACATAAACAGTTCCACAAAACAATTCATGAATCACCAATTAATAAAGCATATATGCATACACAAAACTGCATCTTGATTCTAGGTAGAAATAATAAATTTCTTCATTTAAACAGTTCCATTTTTAGCCCAATTCCAGAAAACAGTTCCTAGGTCATTACTATAACTAAACTCAAAATTGTCCCATTGCAATGAAATCTCTATTGTTCATTTACTTTCTTAAGTCCCAAAATTCAAATGATAAATTCTGGTATGAGCCTTCCAAATAAGAAATCCATAACCAAAATCTTTTTGTAGTTTTATCTCATTTTAAGTTCAAAAAGTTCAAACAAATTCTGGTATTAGGCTTTCACTTCAAAATATGAAGAGACGTTTTTCAACCAAAACTTTTTGCAGTTAACAATTTTTGTTCAAACAAGTGTCTCTGAACTTATTCTCAAGCCAGAGACCTTTTTAGATACAGTAGTATTCTCAACCGCACCGTTTTTGATGTTAGCTCAGGTTTTTCTGTGTTGCGGCGATTTTCCACGGATCTCAGCTGCGGATGCCTTGTGCTGGTTCTGGCGTCTGCCATTCTTAGCTTCTTAGCGGCTTCTGGAACTTTTGAAAACCATTCAGACTGCCTACCTTGCAGTCTACTGGGACACTAACCTTCTGTGTCTCAGGTTTTTTCACCATATACATTAAGCATAGATTCACACTTAACATTTACACTTTTTTACAAACACATAACATATCTTGCAAAGCATTTAGACTCACATTCAACATTTACATGTTTACAAACTCACATATAACATATTAACATTTACTTATTTATACTCCTTAAGGAAACTATAGAACTACTTTAGCAAATATATTTCTTATTACTTCTTATATACTACTTGTATTCATTCCATCTTATTCTTATTTAAACTTACATTTATAACTAGCATCTTTACTTCTTACAAGCTTATTACTATATGTCTTAAGACTACATTAGATACTTCTTGAAAGCTTATACTCTTAAAGGAACTCTATAGATCTATTTTACAAACTTATATAGGGCTACCATTAGCATATATTTAACTTAGCAAACACCTAAAGATTTCTTAACACAGAGATTTAACAAGAGAATTTTTACAAACTTACATATCTTATTTTCATCTTTTTCTATTTCTTACTCTTAATTATTATCACTATCTCTATTAGAAAGATTCTCTTAACTAGACAGGAAGTACGTACATCATTTCTAAAGTTTAGAGTTTATAGTCAGCTTTGCTATAAAACACTGGGATTTAGTGAGTGTTGTTGTTATAGAATTGTGATAGTTGTTGCTAGGGGACTGCAACCTTCCCAGGATGATGCCACACTCCAAAGTTGCCAGTTTTCTCAGCCGTTCCGGACCGGCAGAGATGCACTGTCAGCGGTAGATGGTTTTTAACTAGAGGCTGTCCCTTCACCCAAATTCATAATAGCTCCCCTAAGTGCTTCAATTCAGACAAACGTTTCTATTTACAGCAGTACTTTTGGTTTGTTCTACCGAAAAACTTCACTTCACGCTGAGGGTGAAATTACCGTATTTAGCTGCTGTAAAGCTCTTTGCCAAATACTGCACAGCTATTAGGTGATAAAGTATTTTTCTAAAGGAGCTAGTAAAGCCAAAAGCAGGACAGTTCCGAACTCTATTTCCTCACTATTTGCATTAACCAGTGACAAAACCTCAGAAACACTGATCAAGCGACTTTCATTCTGGTTACTTTATAGAAACGTCATTGGAGCTGACCTTCCTTAGTTCCACGCTCCTTACCAGAAGCTCCGGTAAACACCGAGCTTCATTCTCCTCTTGTGAAAAAACACAAACATGTCCTCGACCCCATATCAACACAGGATCGGGACCCTTCCATAATCCCGAGCAGGGAACTTTCCATTTCGCATTACCCTCAGCTAAAGGACCAGGAAGATTGGAGTGAGCTCTAATATGGCCTGCAAAGTATGGCAGCTTTCTTTTGTGGAATAGCATCTTGGAATTGTTGAAACATTTTGACTTGATTATTGTTAGTTCCAGTATTTTTACCAAAACTATTACTATTCAAAAGAGTTAAGAACATAGATGTTCTTTCATGAAACATCCTTCATTAGCTTACTCTGAGAAAAAGCATTTTTATGATTTAGTATTTTCACTTCATTAGCTTTAACTCCTGATATTATTAGCAGCTGTAATATTTAGCATTGATTTTTTATAAGGAACTTTCAGGTGAAGCAACTTTTGTAAGACAGCTAGATTTTCTGAAGTTTGTTTTCCATCTATAAAGCAGTCATTTCTTTTTGAATGCCTGTTTCAACGTTGTCTTAGATATTTATCTCCTTTGTTAGATTTGCAAAAGAATCACTCAGTGCAGGCTGTTTGTTCAAGAGGTAAATAATTTTCAATTTCACATAAGTTTCTTCATATCTAAGACAACGTTCAGTGTATAAACTGCTTTCCTTTGTTTTTTTAAGGATTTTAAAGTGGCTTGTTCGCTCTTAAAGGTAGCTTTTTGTCATCCAACTACCGTAAAAACTTTGCACAGCTATTAGGGTAAATAAGGCATTTTACCAACCCCCAAACCGCTAAGTGCCTAGTTCCGTATCCTTTCAATGTTTCATTGGAACTGACACTTAAACTCTTAGATGATTTTCCTCCTTATTCTTTTAAAAGCTGTATTTTAAGTTTATCATGAATGTATTTTTGAGCTGA